CACTCTTTAACAAATCTGTGATAATTAAACATTTTTATATCAATAGTTTTAAATCAAATCATTAAGAGATGAATTATAGTATTTTTAAATGACAAATCTGAAAAACATAAGATTTTTTTGCAGATAAAAATATATTTTGTGAATTGATAAAAGGCTATTTTATTTAATATATTTTCTTAAGTATTTTTTCATAACTATGCAATAAGACAATTGATAGTTAATCAACTTCTCCAATTAACCTAAACAAGGATAATATTTGCTTTTCAAAGTTGTTATTCTAAGTCTATATTCTAAGTCTATATTCTAAGATTAAAAAAACATTTTTGTTGGACATCTTTTTGAAAACCTGGAAAATATATATTTTATTAATGGATAGCATATGCTTATTTTAAGATAACAATTATTAAAAAATAATCACCAAGACAATTATATGATACTTTGAAATTTAATGAGCGTAACTAACATGATCAATGATAAGTTTTCATGTTCTGTGCAGCTTAATAACTTTGAATGCATAAACAAACGGGCAAATTCAATTATAGTTTGAAAAATTGGATTATAGTTTCAAAAATTAGAAATATTAATTTACAGGTGAGACATTCCTTTGTAATTACGAAAAAAAAAATTTACAACAGAAAAGTCTCTACTCAGAAAAAAAAAATTGTGACAATGATCCTAAGCCTCTTGTGTAAAGTTCCATAATGCCATAGGAACAGAATGTATCACGAACTCTAAAATAAAAAAAAGAACAAATTAGAAATTATTAAAAAAATAACAAAATTTTACTTATTTTTATTATTATATAGNTTGTGTAAAGTTCCATAATGCCATAGGAACAGAATGTATCACGAACTCTAAAATAAAAAAAGAGAACAAATTAGAAATTATTAAAAAAATAACAAAATTTTACTTATTTTTATTATTATTTAGAATGAATTATAACCTTTGTATTGCCTAATTGTTGACAACCAAATTGTAGGATTAATTTCAACTTCAGATGGTGGGATTAAAATGGTATGGGGACCTGAATAAACACTAAAGTAAAAAAATATATGTCTTAATGCGAAAGAAATTAGCAATACATGCAGTGATGGCTTCTTACAATAGAAATATTTAAATTTTCATTAAATATTTTCATTTTATTTAAATATAAATATCAACAATTCCTAAAATGCATTTAAAAATTACTTCAACCTTAAAATTTGCATATCAAATATAGAAGAACTATAAGAGAAAGTTAAATTCATCAATAAATGATTCTTTTTTGATTTAAGAGTAATTTTTTTTTCTCTCGTAGCATATCAAAAATGTTTTAGCATACTTTTTCTTAAAGAGTTCAGTTCTATCAATAAATACGCATCAATTCCATTTTTATTAAAAACAAAATATCAGTATTTAGCTTTTATAAAGCTTACTTACAATTTCTGTAGAAGCACAAAACAGTCCAGTTGTAATTACTAAATTTGTTGTTATTTCTTTTGAGCATAAAAAAACTTTGGTTGGGCAAACACACTCCAACACCAAAGTTCAAGTATCAACAAAACAAAAAGTGCCATTTTTGTAATAGTGCCGGCAAAAAATTATATGAATGAAAATCTTGGCAAGGTCATGACAACTATAAATGCAAGTTTTTTACACCACTGTAGCAAGAACAGAATAATAAAGACAAAATTTCTTTAGTTTTTGATATTCGGAACTTGATTATTTTGAGTCAACAATAAAAAAAAAGGATACCTTTAAGTACAAAGCTTCATGAAAAAGTATTGAAAACTTTAAGATAATAATTAAAACTCTTTTCTTATAACACATTTAATTTAANATTATTTTGAGTCAACAATAAAAAAAAGGATGCCTTTAAGTACAAAGCTTCATGAAAAAGTATTGAAAACTTTAAAATAATAATTAAAACTCTTTTCTTATAACACATTTAATTTAAGAAGTACTTCTGGCAAAAATTTTTAAAAATAATCTGAGACACAAATTATAATAATTTTGTTAAAATAATTTTAGTCAATTTGGAGAAAATGTTGTATTAATTTTTTTAAAAAATATTTCCTTTATGTCAACGCATGTGTAAACAGTTTATTTATATATTTATTTTGCTATTACTGTTGATCTGATCTTTGAATTTTAGAGATTAAACAAAAAATTTCAACAAAAATAATAAAAACCAAAAGGTTTTTGTGTATGTATATGAAGAGAAAAGAATGCAACCATTCATAAGATAGTAAAAGAATTTCTTTCGCATTTATCAAGCCTAAAGGTTGAAAAGTTATTAAAATCTTTGTATCATAAGAATAAATTGTTAACAATTTCCCACTAAATGAATTTTCCATCGCTATGGAGATCACAGCTATAGCGACTATATGCAATTCTTATGTTATGAAAATTTTAATTTCTAAGAATTGCAATATATTTTTAGCAGAAAATACAAAAATAGATGATAATTTTAAAATGTTTATTATGCATTGCATCCTTTAATATATTTAATAATATGACAATAACAAAATGTTGATCATCTGCATAATAACACAGTAGAAAAAAAGCACTAAATATAAGAGTAATATAATAGTGATAGAAATAGACTTTCTAAAACATTATTAGTGTGAAAGTCAAAGAAAATTATTTAACTTATGGAGAGGCTTTAAGGAAGCAACACTTGTAAAAAGACTCAAAAATGATAATCAAGAGCCTTACATTGAAAATATTAGATTGAAACAACTTAATTTTCCGAATAATTACTACATAAATTAAAGTAATAGAATAAACTCTCAAAAATACTTTTTTATTTTTACCAGAATTTTTTTCTTTTTGCAAAATGAAAATATCAGGAGCTGGTTTTTAAAAATAATTGCTTTTGCAGATTTTGTTATTTAATTCTCAGAAACTTCAATAGAAATGTATAATACTTCATGCTGTTATATGTTTCAAGTAGAAGACTTTATAAATAAAGTTAACAAGACAAGGATAAAATGAAAACCTCATTCATTCATTGACTAAATTAAAAACATAATTTAAAATTTTATTTTATAATCTTCTCTTAATTGAACGGATTTTATTCACTATTCTGATGTCAGATATATTTTTTTAATTGCCTCGACTTACAAAATTCAATATAAATCCTCCTTTTGCTGATATAACACATGTAAAAAAATCGGAAATTATTTAAACTATTTAAGAGGAAAAAAAACTTTACTAATTTAATTGATGTGAGTAAAGTTAAGAAGTTACCTATTCAAACACCATAAGGTAAAACCTAAACCACAGTAAGGATCAAGGTAAAGAGCTATATGTCTTGATGAATATAATTCACCGGCAAGTTTCATACTTGTACAGAAAAAGGTTGATGCTGCATGGGACATCTGAAATTCTTTTTAAGTCAAAATACATAGACTGAATAAAGTTATAAATATCTAATCCCAATTCATTTAAAACAATATTTTAAGAATACAAATAAAACAGTAAAATATTTTTATACCTTAATATCAGATAAGCATTCCAGTTGTGCTAACATTTAAATCCAAATAAGCTATCATTTCAGGAGTTGGGGCTCTGCTTATGCCAGTTAATTTCTTTTTTGGAATGTAATCAGTAAGGCCATGACTTTATAACAACAACAGTGACAGCTTCCTATGGGCAAAAAAAATTTAAAAGCTAATTTAAAATTAAAAATTTTCATTACTTTACAATAATAATTTCCAAAAAGTTAAAAAAAAGTACAATAAGCCATGTTAAATATATTAATTACACAGAGCATATAAATCATAATTAATAGAGAAAAAAAACACTGAAAGAACTTGTAAAACACTCCTCCTTATCTATAGTAAATATTTTAGTATATGGTAAATATTTCTAAGATTTTTAATAGACATTTTTAAAAAGTGTTTTTTTAGCCATAATCCTACATAACACAATACATCTAACAGATATTCCTGCAAAATCAACCCTGCATTCATTTTTGAGATGAATTTTATACAAATCAAGTATTGCTCAGCAGCATAAGTAAAAATATCTTGATTCTTTTTTAATGTTTGTTTGTCCTTAAATGAGTTTTATTTCCATTGTAAAGATATAACATTTCAAATTTATTCTTACCTCTATCAGTTATTAATCATTTTTAAAAATCAGAAATTGGTATTAAATGAAAAATAATTAACTTTAAAAGTACTACAACAATAGGTAGTGGCAGGGGGCACATCAAAGATTGTTTATGGTAAAAAAGTAGTACATATTTCAGGCACATAGATTTGGCCCAACTATGATCAAATTCATATTTAAAGCAAAAGATTAAACTGATCTTCAGTTCGATTGTGCTTTTATAACATAAAATGTGTGAGGGTAACATAAAAATATGCTACCCACATGCAGGATCTTGGTGTTTACCTTAAAAAACCATGAATAGATGCATACTATAAACTAATACAGGGTGCGTAGACAGATTTTTCAACATAAATAAGCACTTTTTAAGCACTCAAAAAATATTTTTAAGCACTTTCACAAGCAAAAATCCTAATTAGGATCTGTACAGTAATAAAAATTGTTTTTTCGATCATTAAAATTTATAAACATAAATACAATAAATTCTAGTTTCTGATAAATATTACAGCGAAAATCATGCATCTTTTGTAATTTAGAACAACAATCGACTCGGCAAAGAAAAATATCTCTTTAAAGATAGAAAACTAAGCACTATTTACAAAAAACAAAAAAAAAACCTTTAAGGGCTTATAAAATACATAAATCAAAAATAAGCACCTTTAAGCAGTTTTTAAAAACTGCTACACTACGCACCCTGTAATATACAATGAAGAAACTGATAAAGCATTTAGACTGAATCCAATAGACTTTTTACGTTCAGCGTTTTATGCACAAAACATTTTTCAGAAAGAAATTCAGTTTAATCATCTTAAAAAAAAACACTAAAAAAGTGAAAAAATTTTTAAGAGTAAAAAAGCTAACCACTAATGCTTACCAAATACACCATTAGGAAGAAAAGTAAAAAAATCGTTGCAGAAAAGGCAGACTTGCCTGCATAATTACTAAACATCTGCACAAGATGTTACAATTTTGAAGTAAGACCATCCTGTTTTTATTTGACTAGTGAACAAAAATTATATTTTGATAAATATGACAAAATAATCCTAATTGAAAGAAGCAAACCTTCAAGAGTAAACTGGTTGTAAAATCTATTTTTCTATTGATATTTCTAGGATATTTTTACTTACATTTGGCAAACAATTGGGCAAAACTAAAGCAAGACAGCAAATTCCAACTTGATGAATACTATCAATAGCTTGCAGTACTCATCCATTGAAAACTCTAAAAAGTATAATAGAAACAGTTCATTAGAATTATCATCACAAAGCAAATTACACAATTATATTTTTTTAACAAAAAAATTGAGCGAAAAAACATTAACAATACTGTTACATTTGCTTTTATCCCAATAACCCTTTGACTATAAGCAGAACAAATGACATAAAATATTTGGTCCTTTTAGCCCAATAATGTCTTGGAAACAAACATAAAAGTAAAATTTAAAAAATAAATATCTAAGATTAAATATTTTTAAGATCAAATTGTTTTTTGAATTCAAATTGTCAAAATTGAAATAGAATACAATATAGTGAACACCCTGCAGCAGTTTTCCCAAAACATAAATTTTTTTTAAATTTAGTACTGCCATAGTTTTGAGAGGATTACCTGTGGTTTATAAGATTTTAAGCATTACATTTATGAACATTTCTCTTAAAATACAGTATATTAAGCAGTATTTTGAGACACAGCATATCAATGATCATTAGGCTTCTCCGTCTCAGTTCTCAAGCAATTTTTATATACTTTGGTAAAATTAAAGAGAAGAGGAGACTCCTAATCACCAAAAATCGATTTTTTTCCTCAACAACCAATGAAAATTAAAGATGCAGGGGAGATAAAACCTTGTTTCCAAGATTCAGGGCTTTCAAGAAGATTAGTTGAGTAATTTTTTTTCATTAATAATTGGAATTTCCTTTCATTTATTTCTTTTCTGATTAATAAAGAATAAATGAGAAGCTGGAAATTCATAATCATTTCAATTTAAAATTAAGAGAAACAAGTCGCGTTCATTAATGTAATATTTATAATAATAGTAATATTTTGAAAACCCATTCTTTACCCACAGCACTAAATATGATAATACGGCCTATCTGATAATTATTTAGTTTAAAGAAACTAAATAATTTTCAAATGGGCCATCTTTAACATCTAATTTTGCTGGTGCTGTGCATATGTTAGTATGACATCTCCATAAAATTATGGCACTTGGGGTTTTCATAATCATATATTACAACTTAAAAACATCCATACTAAATTTACTATGAAAGTATTCATGAATTCTGATTCAAGATTCATAATTATCAAAAAATACTATCTTTAAGTTTTGTTCTGTTTTAATGAGACAATATGTTTACCATATTTGAAAAACTAATTTTTAACTTTTAAGATCTGTAGCTGGCAACCTGAAAAGACTAAAAAGAATTTGAAAATAAATTTTTTTACCTGAATTTTTTTTTTAATTGTTATAATTGTACTTGACGTATGCCATTTGGGTAAACTATTTTTAAGTTTGACCTTGCAACTTAGATTTGTATAATCAGCAAACTTAAAAGCATACCAGAAATTAAAAAAAAGGTATACTTTGAAGAAAAGTTTTTTTTCACTTTAGAATGGCTGGCTTGGATTGGAAGGAAATTCAAAAATTAAAAACTTGACAATTAGGGGAAAACAAAATTACAATGTGCTAGAAACTTTTACTAGTTGCAAAATAAAAAGTTACCCATACAAACTTTTCCTCTAAAATTTGTGTACATTGACATTTTGGAAATTTCCCTAGTGATTCTTGGTGTGAAAATCCTTATAAACTGGTGAGTTTACTTGTTTCTAAAATGTGACTGACAAAGACTCAGCTTATAATGAATTTACTGATATGGTAATTGCAATAAATCAGTTAATTATCAACTTTCAAATTGAGAGATAGAAAAATGCATCTAATTGTCAATTTACTGATATAAAAATCATGACAAATTAGTTAACTTACCTGTTTATTAAACAATGACTTATAACTTAATAGTAATTTTAAATTTGATAGAACAGTAATACTTTAATGTAAATATCAATTATATTAAATTTGTAAATTTTTTTAAATATTTGTTAAATTGCAAGCTAAGAAATGAAAAATATATCAATCAAAGAAAAAGCTAGTGAATAAGGTGAGAATTACAAAATTAAGAATTTATAGAACAAGAGAAATTTTAACAAAAAAAATTGAGTGAAAAAACTTTAACAATACTGTAATATTTTGTAAAAAAGCACGGCAGAATTCAACACTTTTAATTGGTACTTTTAGCCTAATAATGTCTTGGAAACAAACATAAAAGTAAAATTTAAAAAATAAATATCTAAGATTAAATATTAAGATAAAATTGTTTTATGAATTCAAATTGTCAAAATTGAAATAGAATACAATATAGTGAACACCATGCAGCAGTTTTGCCAAAACATAATTTTTTTTTTAAATTTAGTTATGCCATAGTTTTGAGAGGATTACCTTTGGTTCATAAGATTTTAAGCATTACATTTATGAACATTTCTCTTAAAATACAGTATATTAAGCAGTATTTTGAGACGCAGCATATCAATGATCATTCCTCCTCCGATTCAAGGCTTCTCCGTCTCAGTTCTCAAGCAATTTTTATATACTTTGGTAAAATTAAAGAGAAGAGGAGACTCCTAATCACCAAAAATCGATGGTTTCCTCAACAACCAATGATAATTAAAGATGCAGGGGAGATAAAACCTTGTTTCCAAGATTCAGGGCTTTCAAGGAGATAAGTTGAGTAATTTTTTTTCATTAATAATTGGACTTTCCTTTCATTTATTTCTTTTCTGATTAATAAAGAATAAATGAGAAGCTGGAAATTCATAATCATTTCAATTTAAAATTAAGAGAAACAAGTCACGTTCATTAATGTAATATTTATAGTAGCAATAATAATTAAGTACCAATAATAATAGTAATATTGTGAAAACCCATTCTTTACCCACAGCACTAAATATGATAATACGGCCTATCTGACAATTATTTAGTTTAAAGAAACTAAATAATTTTCAAATGGGCCGTCTTTAACATCTAATTTTGCTGGTGCTGTGCATATGTTAGTATGACATCTCCATAAAATTATGGCACTTGGGGTTTTCATAGTCATATATTACAACTTAAAAACATCCATACTAAATTTACTATGAAAGTATTCATGAATTCTGATTCAAGATTCATAATTAGCAAAAAATACTATCGTTAAGTTTTAATGAGACAATATGTTTACCATATTTGAAAAACTAATTTTTAGCTTTTAAGATGTGTAGCTGGCAACCTGAAAAGACTAAAAAGAATTTGAAAATAATTTTTTTTCCCTGAATTTTTTTTTAGTTGTTATAATTGTACTTGACGGATGCCATTTGGGTAAACTAATTTTAAGTTTGACCTTGCAACTTAGATTTGTATAATCAGCAAACTTAAAAGCATACCAGAAATTAAAAAAAAAAGGTATACTTTGAAGAAAAGT